TCGAAGGAAACTTCAGCCGGGGGTCGACACTCGTCCCTTTGCGCAGCAGAGGCGAAAACGGAAAAAGGGAAAGAAAAAGTCCTCATAACGGTCTTAAGAGGTACTCATAACTGCTGCTCTCTTATCCCGGTATATTAATGGATTTTCTCCAACGGGGTGAAGTAAAACTCTTGACAGAATTGCAGCTTTGGTTCACGACACAGTTTTCTGCAGATGTACCAATTCAGACCAACCTTTAAACTGTGTGCAGGTGTACCTCTCATCCCTCACGCTCACTGTGTGTAACATCTATATTCCCTCAGGACAACCGTGTCGGTCGATGACTTCCTAATCTTAATCATATGCCCACTCTTTCTTCTTCACCTCTTCGAGGTTCTTCTCGTGCTAATCAAAGGGGTGCCATTCTGGAGTGGCATCGACACAACTGATCTGATAATTCTCAATGCTAGTGAACCAACACATTTCACCTTAGCTACGAATTCGAGTACGGCTATTGACGTAGCCCTTTGCAGCCCTTCAAACGCTACCGCTAATATTATATCTGTATGGAAGCGACAATTTTCCTACCGTTGTCCACATCGATTAATTCGATCGAATAGATCTTTCCGAGTTTGCGTTGGTGACAAATTGTCTAGCAGTCATCTTGAAAACGGCATCCCCCAAGGGTCGGCGGTAAATGTCATTGTTTGCCATTGCAAACACTGGTGTTCAAAAAGCTCTTCGAATGGAGATCGTCAAAAGGGTTCAACTGCTCTTCTACTGAATCTACTGGTGTTCATTTCTACAGGTTATGGCACTTCCATAGCAATCCAGATCTTTACTTGGAAGGAAATTTGTTCCCATTCACTGCATCTGCCAAGTTCGTGGGACTGACGTTCGCTCTTATCAACAGACTATGAACGTGATGTGTCTCTGTTGATCTTCGATGCCGAGCTGTACGTCGTCGTAATATCCAAGGCGAAGTGATGCTGGCTCGGCGCATGGGAACGGAAGAGAGCTAGCGCACACGAGATGGCGCCCTCCGAAGGGGGTAGCGCGGCGTCTCCCCCTCTTCGGGTATTTTCACGTCATTGTCCTAGAGCGGGCACCACTTTCCTTGGCGGCGGGCGCGCCCTTTTTGAACAGCGCGTCACAGGCGTTCTCAAGACGTGTGGGCATGTGGGACGAACCTACTCACCTGCGTTTGTCACAGTATTAAATTGCGGGATCTTTTGCCGCAACTTAATAGCTGTCTTTCCACCCCTGTGAAACCCCCAAGTGAGCCGATTTTGCCCTCAGGATCAAACTCCGAAATGGCGTAGCCCGGTGCGCTCGTATATGTACTTATTAATTCCGCACAGGCGTAGCCAGTGAGCCCTTACATGCACTGGCATAGCCCATGAGACCCCACATGGCAGCAGGTAATTCGTCGGTAGAGGACCATGGCGGCGTGTAGGTGGCTCTCTGCTGTGCCCCCGGACGTCCGCAACGCCACCGTGTGCCGCCAGCCCAACTCTTCGAGGTGGAAGGATAGGTGCTTTCCAGGTGTAACGCACGAGCCTCTAACGCCTGCTCCTTTGCCTCACGAACGGGAAAGACCGGATGGTGAGACGGTTCACTACACTGGTAACCAACCATACCTACGGGGGCTTCCATACCGCGACATGCTGATTCGAGCTCACAACTGAACTCTTCATAATTATTCATTGAAGAAAATCCAATCATTTTACCTTGAAATGTAACTCGATTAATACGCGCTATTTATAATAATAATATTAATAATTAGCTTTAACCTCGGTTATACGGCAAGATGCAATTATGGAACACAATTATGAACAATGTCAAACCAGTAAGAATGCCAATAAGTTACTCAAAAACAAAAACTTAATTACAAAAAACTTAATACTAAACATTTTTTGAACATATTTACATTGTACTAATATAAACACTGTTCACAAATAATAAATCGTAAAAAACGTAAATTTAATTCAACAAATTATTTATTGCGTTTTCTTAATTATCAAATTGACAATACTTCTAAGAAAAAATACATCAGCTGCCCCCTTAAAATATCAGTGGCCGATGTATCAGAAAAAAATTACATACTTTCCATAACCCACATGAATTATACGTCCTGCTGGTTTGATAATTGCTTTAGATTATGCAATAAAATATAAATACGAGTTTAAAATGTAGGAAAATGTATAATTATCCCTTGAACTTTAAGCAGAAGAACCGAGTTGACATTCTTCAATTAGATTTATTTTGGACCCATCGCTAATATTAGATCAATTTTAATGTCAAGAAATAATTTTTCCAAAGTCAGTATTCGGTCCACATAACTCAATCTTTCTTCATCTTTCCAAACATAAATTAGGTTTGTTAGAAAGATAGTGCAGAAGTTACACATTACTCATCATTTTCCCGCTTTCTAAATATAAATAAGGTTTGTAGGAAATATAGATTGGTTTATTTAGTCTTCTTGATTATGTGAACTATACATTTACATACATTGTTTACATCTGTAGGTACACTATTTAACTATTTACAAAATATGTTTTTACTTTTATGTATTTTATAATTTTTCTTTTTATTTCTTAATTTTTTCACAATTTTTTTATGATAATTTATCATGTTATTCAAATCTGTCTAATCTGTTTTTTGCCTGTACAGTTTTACTGAAATTAATGACTAAATGTTGAGCTTGTCTGGTTTGCCTTGTTTTATGTTTCAATCTTTGGATTTCGTGTTCCAAATCGCCTGTTATATAATTTTTAATTAATTTAAAAATAAAAGTTAGTGTTTTGTAATAAATTGTATTAGTTAGTGTTTTGTAATAAGTGTGTAGAGTATCTAGCACTGGAGTGTATCTATTGCATTGAATTATTACTCTCATGGCTCTATGTTTTACCTGAAGTTTTTTTAATTTCAGTTTTTTAGGCTGGAACTAGTATTGTTGTACAATAATCTAAATGTGCAATTATGGATTTATATCATATATCCATTTATATATTGCCCAAATCTGTTTACAATATTGATCTTTTTTTCAGTTATTCTTTACTATGTACTCTATATAGTCTTTAAAATTTAATTTACTATCGTTAATTACTCCTACTACTAATATTATTTTGTATACCCGTTGTATTTCCTTTAGGTCTGTTGTTGCTGACAATTTAGTTTCCCTTCTATGTTTCTTTTATTTTGTAAAATCATAAATTTAGTTTTTTCAACATTCATTATTAATTTATTTATACTTAACTATTCTTATGTTGCAGTACACTCTGAAGTTTAAATTCAATTTCCTATTCTGTTTCTCCAATTAGGTGTCATTAGCAAATAGTTGCATACAAGTATGCAACAGTGCAGTGGTTGGACATATCTCAATCTTCCGCTAACCAAATATAAATTAGATTTGTAAGAAAGTGTACTAGCTGGACATAACTCAATCTTTCTTCCTCTCAAATACTGTAAAATCTGTCTAAACCGGCACCTGTACAAGCCGAAAACTTGGCTTAACCGAAATATTTTATGGCCCGTAAAGTTTATACGATATTTTGCAAAGCATAAACCATTCTTAATGTAATGAATACATCTGCAAGTCTTTTATATTCTCTGTCCCACGCGATTTAGTCGTGACATGTGACACTGTGAAAGGGAGGGGCTTCAGCTGACTGCGTAGTATTCGACCTATATTTTCAAGACCAAGTATAGAGTCTCGTGTCTCTGAAGGTGTAGGCCGTGGGGGAACACCCCCCTCCCCAACACTGAGCGTGGGAAGGTGTTGGGGCATGGATTGTATTCACGCCTCTCCCTGCTTTACATTGAAAATCGTAACCCCTCGGCCAGAGACGCATTGCTCAAGGCCATGCGAGGTCTGCGCTAGGTCTCCATCTAAATATTCAGTCCCATTGTCAGAAAATTGTGACAAGTGGGCTACAAAAAGAAGTCCATTGAGGAGTACATCAATGAGGGCAAAAAAAGAAATTTCGACATCAATTGATATTCCTGACAATTTGTGTTTAGGTATATGAAAAAAATTTCACATATGAAGTGTACGAGCATTTCAAAAAGGAGACTGAAAAATACATTATTCTTTAGGAATGACGAACCCTATTGTATTTCACGTGCATAAATATAATGTTTTGTAGGTTTTTTTTGTTACCGAGTTGATGCAATCAATTACTAGTTCCAAAAATTACTGGCATGAGAAATCCGATATGAAAAATGATATGGTTGTAAAAGGGACGACACGGAATCAAATGCAAACTATCTTGCGTTATATTCATTGTGCCGATAATAATTCGTGGATTCTTGAGACAAACTATGGAAACTGCGGCCGTTCATGGACTTATCAAGAAAAATTCTTGATAAGTTCCATGATAAATTGTACTCTTCATAAATAATCAAATTCTGAATTTTGACGAGTCTATGGTGAAATTATTTGGCCAGCGTGAAATAAAATTGGCGTGGTTATTTTGTTTAAACAAATTTATATTTTTCTTCATGAATCCAAAAGCTCTTAATGTAAAAATCTGTGTGTGTGTAATTTCCAATTGCATCTATATGGGTTCAGAAACGGTTCATAATTGTCACCATGTTTTCAAGACCAAGTAAAGAAACTGACTAAATATCAGCAATTTTTTTACAAAAATAGTTATGGGACCTAACTAAAGGGTTAATTACTTCTTTACCCACTTGTATTAATTTGCTCGTTACAGAACGGAGATACCACTATCATAGTAAATTGGAAAACTCTTCATAAAACGGAAACCTCCGTAAACCGTATTTTTCCCCCTATCGACTCCGGCTTAGATTTTACTGTATAAATTAGGTTTGTAAGAAAGATAGTGCAGTGGTTGGTCGTAACGCAACCTTTCTTCCGCTTTCTAAATATAAATTAGGTTTGTAAGTAAGTGCAGCAGTTGGAAAAACTACGGCACTCGTGTCTTAACGCCCTGAGGCACCGGGCCGGCTGCGTTTGCGAGCCAATGTCAGTTCAATTTTGCTTCATTTTGCCGCAGGGCGCGGCAGCCACGGAAGAAGAAGATTCAGCGCTAGCGGAGCAGGGAGATGAGGCGAGAGCGGAGGAAGAAGAGCTGGCGGAGGGCGCGCACGCCCCTTCGGGAGAGGAGGGGGGTGAAGAGGCGACGGTGAAAGAGGAGGTGGAGGAGAGCGTCTCCTCCGCGGAAGCGGGCGAGCTTGCTCCTGCTGGTGGGTGCTCTGCTTTCAAAACATCCATGTTTTTATAGTAACATATTTTAATCTTGATATATTGAAGATGTTCTTTATAATTTAACTTTTTTGGGTTATTCGTTTTTTGTGTGTAAATGAAAAATTGCCAACATGGTCAAAATCTTTTAAAAGTTAAAATATAAAACTAGTGGTGCTATTGAGTGGCACAGACTTCCCGTATTAGTTTTTTATTTCCTTTGGTCTCGGCTAGCTATTCGGACGTGCCCCATCCTCTTGCCAGCTGCCATCTGTCGCCGCCCAAATATATATTTTTGATATTTTATTATTCGGTTTCCTAATAGTAGAATGGAAGTATTATTTTAAGTATATTAAAGAACAGTAAAAGATCGTCCTAAATTGTAAAAACATTTTTGAAACATTGGATGCCATTTTTAAGAAAATGGCCCATCAAGTTGGGTCTGTCCACGTCCTGATGATGGGATGCATGGACGGCTCTCAAGTTTTCCTTTCTCTCACCAATCATCGTTGACATCCCCATCGTTCATTCTCGTTCTTTTTTAACATCCTGTATCTTTTCTTCTGCCCCTTTACTGCCCCCTTATGCAGAACGCCCACCCATGTTTTTGCTGTGAATGGCGACCCATGTCGGACGGAAGGTGTCCTGGCTGTTGAGGAACCTGTTTCGTTCCCAACTAGTCCTTCTGCCTACGGCAAATGCATCAGCGAGTTGTGAGACTTTATCTGCCTCTCTCCCTGTTGTCCATTTGTTGCCAGGTGTCTCCAGTAGACTTCCCTGAGGAGACATCGCCTCTGCAAGGTGGGAAGATAATTCCTTCCAAAAACAAATTGTCCAAGAAAACCACACAGGCGAAGTCGGACCCAGAATCCACTTCTCAGCCCCGCATGAAGGCCGATGGCACACGTCAAAAAGCTCGTTCCTCCAAACTCCGCCCACCTGCCCCGACTCCTGAGACTCGCTCCGAGCGAGGTCTTCGCCCGTCGAGCAGCGCTCAAGAGGAATCTGCTTCGGAGGAACCTTCCTCAGGGGTTGATAGTTGCCCCTTCGGGCAACAGGGGCATAAACGGAAAAAGAGGATGAAAAAAAACCCTGCGAGCTAGATCCATGTTGACCATACGGGAAAGTAAGGCCGCGTCCTAATTAGCTTATATTTCATCACACTCTTGTCGTACGAAAAGAAGTACCCAAAGAAGAGTGGGTAAAGGTTTGAGAGATCGTTGGAAGACTTGATTCGCCGTCTGTCTCAGGGCTGCTACTAAATTAAAATTGTCACACCTCATCAGGAGATATAGTTCAAGAATTGGCCTCTCACTACGAGCAGATCTCCAGCTCCGTACACTTTCCTAGCTTTCTGAAGACCAAAAGAAGCATGGAGAACTGCAAACTTGATTTCTGGAGGTGCGTGGAGGAAGATTACAATGCTCCTTTCTCCATGGATGAATATTCGTGTGTCCTCGCTTGTGCAAAAGTTTTTGTTCCAGGACCAGACCAGATACATAATCAAATACTAAAACACCTACCGCAAAATGTTCGTTCTTTCCGCTTCCGCATTTTCAACTTGATTTGGGATGAATATTCCTTACCAAGGGTCTGGCGTGAAGCCATTGTTATTTCAATCTCAAAAGAAGGAAAGGACTGATCATTCTCTTCAAGTTACCCTCCAATCTCGCTGGCAATCTGTGTATGCAAGCTTGTAGATGGAATGGTAAACGTCTGGTCTATCTCCTGGAGCAAAGGAATCTATTTATACTTTTTCAGTGAGGTTTTGGGGGGCACAGGTCAACCATGGACAACTTAGTCTCCCTTACCACACAGATCTCCAGTTCTTTCGTGCTACGACACCTGGTAGCAAATTGTTTTCGTCATAGAGAAAGCGTATGACACCATCTGGAGGTACGGCGTTCTCCGCACCTTGCATTCTTGGGACCTTAGGGGACGGCTCCCTTCGTTTCTAGTTGATTTTCTTTCGCCAAGGTCTTTCCGCGTTCACCTTGGTTACACGTTATCTTCAAGTCACCAGTTAGAAAACTGTGTTCCCCAGGGATCAATTCTGAGTGTCACTCTGTTTGCTGTTGCTATCAATAGTATCGCATCAGTAATTCGAGAGCCGGTAAAAGCATCGCTCTTCGTTGATGACTATGCCATATGCTGCTCCTCGAAGAGCATGCAAGTTATTGACGAGCTACAGCTAGTCCTCATCAAATTGCAAGAATGGAGCGATAAAACTGGATTCACGTTCTCCACCTCAAAATCCATTTGCATGCACTTCTGTAGAATATATCTCCCCCTAAACCATCCTGATCTTTTTTTGGGTAGTCATCTACTTCCCTTCGTGGAATCTTCCCATTTTCCTTAGCCTGTCATTCGACAAGAGTTTAACATAGCGTCCGTCCTCAAACCTTTAATCATCATCATCATCATCACGTTAGCATGAGTGAGAGAGTGTCTAAAAACCTCACAACTTTGTGTTCGGGCCGGAAGCTGCAATCTCTGAGGATGATCGTTACGCGATCGAAACGATTATTAGCAATACAAAATTTTTGGTACACGACAACGCCTTTAATTAATCATATTTAATTCTCCAAGGTAATTATTTTTTTAGTTCTGTATATTATACCATATTTTGTCTTTATTGTCGAGGGGACGTCTTAATATTTGTCATACATTTGTTTTTGTCAAAAGGGATTTGTAGGCCGGCTTTCATGGAATGCTCATTCACAAATTCAACTTGCTGAATAGCTATTTCTACCGAGTACCTACAATACTGCTAAATGGCAAAAAAAATGGGGCAAACATTGTTACTTTGACATTTGGATATGTGAATGGCAGTGGAAGAGAGGAGCGGAGAGTTGATTGCCATTAAAAGAAGTGGGTTGCAGGGAGCGGCAGGCGCGGGCGCGGGGGGCCCAGGCCGGTGTGTCCGCGGTGCGGGCGGCGCTGGGCGAGCCCGGCGGCGCTGGCGGCGCACGGGCCGCGTGCGGGAGCGGGCGCTGGCGGCGCGCGAGCCGCAGTGCGCGCTATGCGACGTGGCGCTGTCGTCGTCCGCCGCGCTGGAGCCCACCGGCGCGTTGGTCACGTGGCGGGCGCCGCCGGCGCCCGCACAGCTGCCCGCACCCGGGTGGCGCCGCTTCGCGAGCGCGCCAAGCTGCAGGAGCACGTGCGCACGCACACGGCGGCAGGCCTTTGCCTGCGAGCCGCTGCAGGCCCGCCTTCAAGACGCTGTCAACGTGCGACGCGCACGCCGCGCTCGCGCACTCGGCGGGCAGCGAGCCTATTGGCGTAGCGAGCGCTGCGCCGCCCTTCGCCTGCTGGCCAACCTGCGCGTGCACGAGGCACGCACACGGGCGAGCGCCGCTCCCGTCGGCGGAGTGCGGGCGCGCCTGTCGCCCGCGCCGAGCACCTTCGCGCGCACGCGCTGAGCCTGCACGCGCGCCAGCGGCCCTTCGCGTGCGACGAGTGCGGCGCCACGCACTCGACGCGCGCGCACCTCGCCACGCACCGCCGCCGCGCGCACACGGGCGAGCGGCCCTTCGCCTGCGCGCACTGCGCGCGCGCCTTCGTGCTCAAGGAGCACCTCAAGAACCACGTGCGCGCGCGCCACACCGGCGCCCGCCCCTACGCTTGCCCGGCCCCCGGCTGCACGCGCGCCTACGCCACCTCCACGGCCATGCGCAAGCACCAGCGGCAGGCGCACCCCGACCCCGACCCCGCGCACTGAGCTAACTAAAGAAGCAAAGTGGTCTGGACAAATAAACGTTAATTTTTACAACAACAAAAAAAAAGCTTCATACTTTTTAATATAATCCCTACCAACATATACGAACTTGTCCCAACAGGTTACCAGCTTTTTTTGTACGGGCTGCAAGGAACTTTTATCCTCGCGTTTGAGCCAATTTCCCACAAATATTTTGACATGCTTGACCTGGGACTTCTTCCCACGTAATGCGCATCCTTCAGAACACCAAACAAATGGAAATCAGATGATGCTAAACCGGGGATGAGGCACCACCTCCCAACCCATTTTGTCGATAGTTTTACGAGTTTGTTGAACAGTGTGAGGATGTGCGTTGTCTTACTGGAAAATCACACCTCTTCTCTCTGATCGTTTCTCTCTCAGCTGACTTCACCTTGTTCAAAAGTATAACTAGTATTAATCCACGAAGTTCTTGGAGGCAATAACAAAATTGCACCTACCGCATCTCAAAACACCATAGACCTTTCCTACTGATTTAATCTGAATGGTGGTCGTCAGTTACTGAGTCTCCATCTCTTGAACTGTTCTACCCACTTGTAAAAATTACTGCTGTTCATACAACTTTAACCCTGCACTTTAATCATTTTAGAGTATATATTAGCTGATTTTTCATCTTCAAGTCAAAAACGAATCTCACAACCTTGTTAAACTAATGTAGAATTGTCAAGAGAACTCGCCATCGCTCAACGCAATTTTCAGGTTTTGAGCAGTGGTGACTCCTGTCCTCGAAAGTTGGTTTGGACGCCTTTTCTTGCTCGTATTAAATCTTGTGATACCTCTCATTAAAGTCTGCTAGTTGGGCAAGGAAGTCATGCCCGATGGAAAGCATACAAGAGCTGATACTATCTTTTTCGACGTATTGCACACGTCTGTAACTACCATGCCTTATGAAAATAAACGACAGCCACAAGAGATGTAGCACTGCCAACTTGCAAGGGCAACAAATGCAAGATCCATTCATGGTGAAGCATTTCGATTACATGCTTTTGCATATTCCTTCGTAAAAAATTTGCAAATATCTATACATGTGGTTTGTGAGAACTGAGGAGAAAACTAAAATACGATTTTCATCTGATATATCGTCACAGTTCGTAGCCTGCAGGAAAGGTCAGATACCTGGTGGAGATTGAACTTTTATCTCGCTGTCGGACGCGTTGAGAACTTTGTCACAGTAACTCTCTGGTTACGGTTGAATAACAACATTGAGACATTCTCTCCGCGAAGCCCCATCTCCTCGTCCCTGACAGCAACTGGTTCATTTTCGCCTATATTCCAACGTTGAAGTCGAAGGTGTAGCAAGACTATGTAAACACTCATGCTCGCAGTAAACGTGCAGTTTAATTTCTTGTATGTAATTTGTAGTTAAGGTAAGAAAATGTGATGCGATGAGTTACGAGAGTAATAATGAATGGCACATAGGTTGTTGCGCAAACACGTTACAATCGGCACATGCCGCAATTGGTTTTGAGTACAACAATGCTGATCCTCCAGATGGTCAGGACTCATCCCAGTGATGCCTGAGACTTAAAATTATCAAACTTGTCCTCTCTAGGCCAATTTGCTTCTAATTCTTGGATGACCTTTATACTATTCACCACCATACATGATGGGGGACGGTCAGCTTGTCTCGGCTGGGGCCACCTCCTGGTATATAACATGGATTATACATACGGTACTAGTGACCATATCAGTTGTGCCTGGAAACCACATTGAAACCCAACCACACACACACTCAGCCACTGCCTCGAACACCTGGCAGACCCGTGCGTAGAACTACGTCATCCAGACGGGCACAACTCCACCCACCCCTACGCATTCTATCCTTTCCAATCACAGTCTCCCTGCCCCGCTCTCATGCATTGCACCATTACACATAGCCACACAAAACTTTCCCCATCCCTCCCCCCTCGTCCAGACACCTCGCCGCCACGTTCAATTCCATAAACCTTAACGCTTTCTTCACCAGCGGCCTTAGAAGCAAAGCCACGCAGTGGGGATGCCATATGAATTTCTGCAAGACTAAATATAAATACATTTTGTGCAAGAAGTAAAAACTCATTGTCGAAAACATCTTCAAGGATCAAGTCAAGAGAATATGTATTCATTTTCAAATGACAGATCAACGGAAATAAATAATTTCTATCGCTATGCAGTGTCTTTTCAGCGTGATTTGGGGGATTAGAATGGTAAAGTTAGCCTGACGGAGATAACCCTGGACTTGCTGACAGGATACACAGGCTTCCTTCCTCTCACATTTGTTTGTTATTTCTCAGTACAATTCTAGTGGAATAGCTTCTATGCTCAATGAAGAGGCTTGCATGGGTAACGCGGATGGCATTTTTTCATTATTCGAATGATTTTCTTTTGCAATCTAAAGGTCTGAGTACTACATGATGAGTTTCCCCAGAATTGAATAACATATCTCAGGCGGGAATGTATATTTGCAAAGTACACGCAACGAGCTGCATGAAGGCTGACCGAATTTGATAGAATTCTGAATGCGTACCGTAATGAACTTAATTTAGTTCGGGAAACTATTGATAAGCATTTCTACAAATGCAATCATTACATATACAAATAAACCGGACGTGTGTGTACATACGTTTGCAATTTTTTAAATTTTACCCATTTTTTCAACTTTCTTTGCGATTTGTAAAACGTATGTCATGTCAAATCAATTGTTGAGTTATCTGCACGAAACGATGTAATTGAAGTGATGAATCTATCATCATGAAATTTAAATACATTATGAACACTAGCCATAAGACCAACTTAGTATTTCTGACGGTTCAGAAATTATTACTTTCTTGCCTTGCGGATTCTTCCTAAGAAAAGAGAGTTATGTATAATCTTGCGGCAGAATACACCAAAATTTCGCCAGAATAAACCCCGTTGCGGGGTTCAGGTGAAGAAAAAGTTAATAAATTCTGTTGCTAAAGTAAGGAAAAATGCCCTCTTACTGTTGGTGTAGCCAGAATCCTGTTTTGTTGGTTCTTTATACCGAAAAATCGATTAACGATAAAACGTGTCTGTCCGTCTGTGGTTAACGCTAGCGTCGTTTAGCAGATTTTCTTCAAAATTTATATTCCGTGATTGTTCCTAACAGACTGGACGCTTTAGGAGTTTCTTGCGAATATTTTGATTCTTGAAGGGTGTTTTAATTTTTTTAAAACCAGAATCGGTCATTTACCTTTCTTACCTTTGTCCGAGTTCGACCACACAGCGCTTCTGTGTCATAGTGGTAGGGGTGTCGGCACGTTAACTGAGGATCTGAGTTCGAGTCTTGTAGCGGAAAAAAATAAGCTACTTGACAATATTGCTGATGCTTATGTTGTAGTGTAATTTTGTGGAGTTTTTAGAATCAATGCGAGAAAGTATGTGCTTTGTAGCACCACTAGTTTTGCATTGTTTCATTTCCTGATAATAGAATGGAAATATCAGTTTATGAATATTAAAGAACAATAAAACCTCGTTCTAAATTCAATTTTCTTCGGAAAATTGCAGCTGATTTTAAGAAAATCATACTCAAGCGCTACTGTATATTCAAAATTTGAAGCTCTCTTTCACAGAAACTTTTTGCGTTTTCGAAAAACTTCATTTGAAGTCATTTAAAGCATCTAACAAATATAATAGAGTTTACAAACGGCTGGAAATGTGCAAATTAGTGGCGCGAGAGATCTTACAAAAATTACATTAGTGTAATTTTTGGAAAACAAACAGAAATGAACTTTACCTCAAATTAAAGAGTGCAATTAGCAGTATACGTTCGAAAAGATTGAAGACAAAATTTGGAAAAATTTACGAGGAGATGGCGTTTGAGTTTTTTGAAAATGCATTTAATTAAATGTTTAATGAAAACATTTCGTCGTTTTTGAGAAATATTGTATTTCTTATTTTTTTTAATGGCACTTATTGAATATAATAATGTGCGTTAACTACAAAAATTTTCAAAACAATGTGCTTGATCGTAATGAAAGAAATCACAATAAGCAATTGGAAAAGACAACTATTGAAATATCTAACTACTAGAAATTTATGTTGGTTCTTTTTGTACAGCACTGGATTTGAAATATGGTTTAAAAAAAGTCCTAGACCCACAAATTAGCCCTAAATTTTGCCCCGGGATTCATTTTTTTATTTTCTGTTCACTCATCTTTAAAAACAAGCTTTTTCTGATTTTTTACTTCATTTTTATTTATTCGCTTATAAGAACGTGTGTAAATTAATTCTATTTGTACATCCCGGATTTTGGAACAAAAATGTGAGAATTGTTTTCTTTCTAGAGCCTTAAATTATCCGTCAATTTTGAGTAGGGTTCCAGAATTTTTCAGTGCTTTTTGTTTGTTTGTTTTGGTTCATATTCGCCTATAGTATTAACTAGATGAGTTAGACTAAAGTCTAAACGTTTGTTTTTGGGCACTGTTAGCTTTAGATGGCTCCCAAACGTGTATTTCCGTTGAAATATCGTTATCGATTTTTCGCAGCATTACATAACTTTCCCTTTACTACATTTTTACTACGTATATACGTACGTATATGGGAAGGTAAAACTAGTGGTGCTACAAACGGCACAGACCTTCCCGTAGTAGTTTTCTGTTTCCTTCGGTCTCGGCTAGCTATTCGGACTTGTCACATACTTACTTTTGCCAGCTGGGCCTTTAAATCGTCATATATCGCCGCCCAAAGTATGTGTATATATGTATGTATATATATATATATATATATATATGTGTGTGTGTGTATATATATATATATATATATATATATATATATATATATATATATAGTTGAAATTTTCTCAATTTTTCGGTTTTCTAATAGTAAACAGAAATATTATTTTAAGAATATTAAAGAACAATATAACGTCGTAAATGGCAATAATCTTTGAAAAATGTGGAACCGTTTTTATGAAAATGGCGTTAAAGTGCTACTGCTAATTTGCAATTTGAATCTTTTTCACAGAAACTTTTTGAGTGTTCGAGGAACTTTATCAGAAGTCATTTAAAGCACATTGACTCACAAATACAGAAGTGTTTACAAATTGGTGGAATGTGCGTAGTAACGGCGTTAGGGATCTTCCAAAAAATTACATTTGTAAAAGTTTAGAAAAACAAACAAATAAACTTTACGTCATATTAAAGAGTACAATTAGCACTATCCCTTCAAAACGTTTGAAGAAAAAATGTGGAGCCGATTTCTTTAAAACAAAATGGCGTTTGAGCGTTTCTGACAATGCGAAATTTTGAGCTAGTTTTCACAGAACAATCAATTGATTTTTCAGTATTAAGGACCCGCAAAACAGGGATTCTGGCTAGACCACTACTTAGAGTTTTTTCTTAATTTAGTAACTAGATTTATCCCCTTGTTCGTTATCAGGGCCTGGTAATGAATTTTTTTTTTTTTTTTTTTTTTTTTTTTTTTTTTTTTGCTGAAAATCCGCCGTTTTCTGGTGTGGTATTACATAACTTCCCCCATACTACGTAGATTACTCAGTACACATGTACATATATGTACAAGTATAAAAATGTGGAAAATATTAGGGAAAGAGGTTGAATGAAGGTATTAATTTAAAAACATAAATAATGTCATTAATTCTTTGGTATTCTTACATGTATAACACACATTCATTCACACTTTTCATGCAAAAATATAATCATACAAATTCATTAAAAAATCATGTGAGTTTGTACAAAACATCCCTCCTTAGGGCCATGAAAAAATTTTAGTATCGGTTCTAAATTAATTTCTGAAAACTACTTTATTTTTAGTATCTGACTTCATCAAACACCGTGGTGCAGTATCACCACAGACTTTTCAGGTCCCTTGAAACTGGTCCTAACAGTTCTAATTTTGACGTTTAGATTCAATTCAAGGCAGCCACTCAGCTTCATTGCTGGTAGCCCCACTGCTCAGTTCTTCTCGGTCTCGTTTGTTTTGTACAGTGTGGTAGACAGTCTTCGCACCACTAGCAAGGGTTTCGATTCCATCTCCCAGTTTGTCTCCTGCTGTGCGAACTACTCCAGCGATGCTGCCCGCGCTGAAAGTGTTTGAATCAATGTTGATGTTGACGCCTTCTTCAGTGGGGCAACCGCTTTGGTCAATGATGCTCAAATCGAAGGGGTCGATGCCGTAACTGCTAAGCTTGTTGCGAAGCTGTGAAATGAAATACAAAAAACAATTAAAATTTCAGAAAACTAAGTTAATTTTGAAGCAAAAAATTATTCTACTCTTTTTTTTGCAAACGTTTTGGCCCAACACCTAACCTAAATCTAAAATATTGTCGTATATCTAAGACACGTTGGCAAATAAACATTCCCAGAAAATGTAGAATTATTTGTTTGCTTCCATGACCTGAACTCAAGAACATGAAATTCCATCCCGTTGTAGCTCAAGAGGTCAAGAAAAACTAACAATTACAATTATTGTTTGTTTTCTGAGAGAACAGTCAACATCAAAGCTGTAAAAAATTATAATTGCCCAAAAATAAGTAAATTTTGCTTCTTCAGAGATATAAAATTGTTTTGAAAATGAAAACAAACATTTAAAAAATTATCTCAAACACTAATAATACTATTTACCTCTAGAAAATCGAATGTTATTTTTTTACAAAAAGAAAAGGTACAACAGTACGTTGCTGTATACCATCACATTTAAACGTACCTTGTCAACGTACTGTTTCTCGAGTGTGCGTTTTCGTGACAGAATAGAAGCAGATTGGCGATGAGCAAAAGTCAGTTTCTGGCATGTAAATATTCCAGCATAGTTTTCGTAGTCAGTAGCAAATACAGTGTAAGTTGCACTACCAGCTACACCTGCGGGAAAAAAGGGAAAACACATGATTACGGAAATACACCCAATAACAGTTCAAAATAAATGACAGTGATTGATTTAAAAATTTTGAGGTCTTAGGAACAAGCAAATTCTGGGGCCGCTAAAACATGGCAACCTTGGCCCAACATAGATTCAGAAATATTAATCTACGGACACAGCTTTCTTCACCTTTCTAAATGACATTCTTGTTGCTCTAGACCAGAAAGAAATCCTTATCGTTTTTTTTCTAGATTTATCAAATGCATTCGACATTACTGACCACATATTGTTATTCAAACTTAAAACTTTGGGAATTTGAGACATTGCACATCAATGGGTTAAATCTTACCTTTCAAATCATTGTCAAATAGACCAATCAAGCTTGTAAGAGATAAAAAGATATCTACCCATTTTCCCAACCTAGAATGATAAATTATGGAGTGCCACAAGGATCTCTTATAGGCTCTATACTATTTCTATTATACATCAATGACATACTCCTGACCTTACAAAAGAGAAAAATGGTCCTATTTTCAGATGACACTAACATTATTATTATAGTAAATACCCAACAAACTCTACAAAAAGAGGTACAAAAACTCCTAGAGGCACTAGTAAATAACTCATCATAAACCCAGAAGAAACTTTCGGAATTCACTCTAAAAAAAGCTTCCACATTGATGATAAAAAACATGCCTGTAAAAATAGCCCCAAAACATCTTTCCTTGGATTGACTATTCAAGGTGATATAAAATGCAACTCCCATATTAAAGATCTACACAACAAGATTACCAAGCCATGTTATGCCATGTACATCCTTTAGTCAAATTCGAACTTTTATACACTGCAAATGGTATACTTTGCAAATGTTCACTCGCACTTAAAATATTAAATCATATTATGGGGAAATTTTCCAGAAAGTATTCACACTTTCATAATCCAAAAACAAACTGAAAACTTTCGTGTTAAACCGTACATTCTACTTGCATGTTTTGTAACTCTCCCAAAGTGGTTGGATATAAAGACGAACTCAACCCATGCACGAATCTCCTATGAAGACTTTTTCTCTATTTTCCGTTCTTTCTTTTTTATTACTATTGTTTTTAATTTCAGTATTCTGACAGTACCATCAATTAAATTAATCAGCATTCCATTATATTGTACTTAATACAAGAATTGAATTGAATTTTAATTTCTGTCTTGCTTTTAATTTTTAGATATACATGCAGTGTACATTGTATGATTGTGTACATATACTGACATGTCATACATGGCTTATGCTGTATTTATGTGAAAAATAGTATTTTGTATTATTACTATATTATTATTGTCAGGCCTTGGTAACGAGAAACGTCAGTCTATCTGTCTGCGGTCAAAGATTGCAGGAAAACAATTCCGCTAATTTTCTCCAAAATTGATATTCCTCGATCAATTTAAACGAACTCAAGGCCCTCTGAGTTTGAAAAGGAAACAATGATTTTTGGGGTTTGTTTACATAAGACCTCAACATTTTCAAAATTTTCTCAAAAATGGCTCCCAAGTTTTTACTAAATTGTGCCCTCCGATAGCGTAACGGACGCTTAAGAGAATAGTACAGGTCTCAATTTCGTTGAAATACTTGAATTTACGAAAATTGCACAAGTTGAATTTTTTGGCGTCTTCCTACAACTACACTGTTCATGATAAAGATTTTACCCTGAATGAAATCTGTTATGTAATGTCAGATCTCGATATAACGACAAGTAACATTTTTCGAAAATATAAGAAGTTTTTGCGTAATTTTACGATAAATAAAGGCAATTTAACAACTTTTTTAAACATTTTTTTCAAATACGATTTTTTTTCTTTACATTTTCTCTTCGTATGAATCAAAGGACGGTTAAAAAGATGGTGCTGGTGTCATTTCCGGTGAACTCTGTATTTCCGAAAAGTAAGAAATTTTATCTTTCCAAAACTAAGAACTATTGTAGCGTCACAGCTTGCAGCCGGCTCAGAGAAGACGTGCAAGGTAGAAGGTTGAGGGCACTAAAAATAGCCACCTGAACAAAAGGCAGGACTTCCCACAAAGGGTGTCACGTGCAGAGGCAGCGTCAAAGAATGTCGCAATGCAGCGCGTGGGGGGAGAAATGACGTCCGAAGTCATGTGACTCGCCCCTATATAACGTCGCGTCGCGATGGCGCGAGTGGGTAACAACTCTGGTTTCCTCGTGGCGAGTCCACAAAACTTTGCCCGCCCAGGCTGGTGCGGAGTGCCGGTGGCACATGGTTCGATGTGTTCAGACCAGGCGACGTGATCCTCGAACACTGTCAGGCGGATTGTCGATCAGCCGGGGCACACCAGGTGCCAATTTGCGAGGCGGCCTAGCATTCTGTCGTAGGCGCCGCCGCAAGGGGCATGTAGAGAGAGGGAGGCTGCAATGGTAACTCTAATAAACCGCCTTAAGAGTGAGGTTTTGTAGATCTATAAATAAACTTGTATATACTCACTCGAGTCTGTTCTCTTTGTGGCGTAGATTCCTACCCAAGACACTATTATGAGAAGAGTTTTTGCCTTAAACAAAATAAGTTCTAAAAAAGTTCTGTAAAAATTGTCATGTACTTTTTTTTAATCGAGACGTTTTTGCGTAATTTTTCCTCCCGAAATTAATGCAAAATAAAAAACTCTCAAAATTCGCTCTCAATTTTTTCTTAAAATTTATTCCAGAAATGAATTAGGAAAATTTAAAAGAATGTCGTAGATCTCATTTTTGTTCAGAACTCTCTTAAGCTGGCTTTACACTTGCAAGAAAATGGCGAGCAATATTATTTCGCAAGGAAAGTTGCCAATGTAAACATTGCGGCAATAAATATTTCTGATGTTGGCAATATTTCTTGCTAGATATTCCGGCCGTAATGTAAAACTCGAGTGTTTCCATCCTCGGAAAGATATTGCCGGCTGTTGTTGGGACTAGAATTGGATTGAAGTCTGAGCAAGATATTGGTGGAAGAAGCCAATGATCAAGGTCACATACGCTGGAAGTACGTACGGTAGTACTTAGACGTAATATTTGCATTTTAATATGCATTTTTTTCGTAAAATGTGTGTTGACCATGTTCACTCGCTGAGGCAGCCCTCCCAAGTGAGGTTATTATGTATCTGTAGTGTCATTGCAGTGAACGAACAAGCGATTGGATTTACTTCTTACAGTAAACAGAATAGAAGATAAGCGATGAAATTTGGGGCTAATTTTTTTGGGTGTTTTAAAAAAAATACGCACAAAGCTGTCCAATAAATTAGATTATATTTCTGAAAACTGGTTCATGAATTGAAAAATGTAAAATTCATTACTTTTATTGAATTTAATGGTTTTAAATTATAGTTCCTACAAGAACGGAAAGAACTACAGATTTCTTGTATGTTTCATATTTTCCTTTAGGTCTGCGAAATGGTCACAATTTCTCAAAAAAATGTAAAGTAACTTTTAACCAAACATGATAATTTACGTAAAGACTACTGTATTGTAACAGACATTTCTGAGAGTTAATACAATTAAATGAAAATAATAAAATTAACATTATCAACAAAAACAAATATAAAATACATTATTCAAACCTCAGCTTCATCAATATTATTAAAGTGAGTTTTGATAGAAGTAAATTGTGTCTGGCGTCCGCACTATTAATATGGAATATTGAAATAAATTTTTAAAAGAATAATTAAAATAAGTAAATTTGTGTATTTTGCACCAGGCTTTCTCTTTTCCTACCATTCAACTTATCATTTCAAAGTTTCGTACTTTTTCTTTTCAATCTACAAAATGCACAATTCGCCTTTCTGCTCACAAGACTGTTGAAATTAGCGCCATTCGCCATCGCTCGGCGTCTGCATTCACGGAACGAATATTCAGAGCGAACGTTCGCTCGCTTCCGCCGGCCGATCTCTTCCGAACGACTCGATTCGCTCGGGAGTTCGTTTGGACCATAGAGTAGAGATATATGTAGAGTAGAGATATTGTATGTCTCCTATATGGTTTGGACGCGCTCGCTCGCGCGGTGTAAACGCACCTTTATGTACTGAACTAGTTTGCGAACGATTCCGATGCGAGTAGTGAATTCAAAGTAATAATTTGGGCCATTTTTCTTGTGACTAACTTAACATGACAAATAAAATAATTACGTTCTATGCATTACTTGTGAATTTGGTGCAAGAGAATTCTCGTTTATAAAATGATATGCGAGCACTAACACAATAGCTACTCGCATTTATGTATAAAGACAAATCGATAGGATAATCGAAGGGAAAGCTAGAAACCAAGTGGAAAGATCTTTTCACCATGCTAGAAACAAATCGATAAACGATCAAGTTTCAATACCCTGAAATCTAATTGGTTCAGACGAAACCTACGTTCCAGCTTACGTTCATCATTGTGAGCGCTTGTTTTTACGTGTACATTTTACGGCAAAGTTTTCGACATTGCGTTACGTTTAAGTTTGCACTGTGAATTAGCCATTGGTTTGGGATTCGGTTAACGCAAAAGAACGAGTCACGCCGAGAAAGATTCGGTTTCTTCGCTTCCATTCCGCTGCAGTGCTTACGATTTGTTCCCGCCACATTGTAATGCCAAATTACTTTCAAAGGCAAGTTTTCTCGCTTCGTTCTCCCGGATCCAAGCCTAGGCGAGGCTCGGGCCTTCGGCCCCCCGCGTACACTATAATCAACCTTGAGTCTCTCCACCGCATAATTACCAATTCAATTGTATAAGAAAGAACATTAATGGTTAAGTTCCCTATCTGAAATTAATTTTATAACGTTAACAGGCTCATCTTTTCACATATTACCAAAGAAACACCCATTCAAAACCTCCATTGTGAACACACTGGCCTCCAGTATTCAATTGCGCAGTTGCAAACACGATGTGAAGAAAGGACACAACAAGCTTTGTTTAGAATGCAATCCAACGATCACTTTGACAGTGAACGATAGTCGTACCCTAAAATAAGAATTGGCCCCAAATTTTAAGGTTTCATTCCATGCTTGATAAATTAAATAGTACTTACTGAGAGGGAAGTTGACTTGCATCTTCGCAGGGACATTAGGACGTGGAACAGAAAGTTTGCCAGTATATCTGTACGTGTGATCCAGGCTGGTAAGACCTAGAATTAAATGTTGGCTTGTCTGCTCCAGCAAATAACCTCCACTTTCATGATCCACTGTGTAATTATTTGCCAAGCAACTGCTACCAGTAGATGTCTTCTGAACCACGTACCATATTCCTAAAAACTGAAGCATCAAACAAAATGTATCAGTTACGTAATTCAAATTATTATTGCGAGTTAACTAGATAACTGGCGTACCCTTGTGAGAACTCTGGCATGTTGACCCGCACCCTAATTTTTCTCAATAGTGTCGTGGAACTGAAAAATGGGAAACAACTCCGTTTCCATCATACATCCCTTCACAATTAGGAACACAGAACTTGTAGAGACAGCAAAAAGTTAAATGAACGATTGCACTGCACGCATAAGGAACAATCTTCATCAGTATCAAGCAACTATTAATTCTACTTCTAGTTGTTGCTGCGAGAGACAATCTTGAATTAATAATTATGCAAATAAACCTGTCAGTCTGCGCAAACCACGGTGTACTCGGAAAGCGTAAATAGTATAAGATGGTGGAAACTAAGTCTTCTAAGCGTGACGTCACAGAGATGGCTACGAGCACCAAGGGCTGAAATAGGGCATGGAGGAATATATTGCGTATTCCTCTATGTATATGTGTCATTGGCAGTATCGATAAGTGCCGAATCAGCAAAAATGTGATGGAATGTCCAAGAATATCGCATTCTGTAGATTACATAACAACGCTTTGTTTAGGAGTTATTTAACGATATAGCTGAACGAGTGTTGTGGTTTGCATTTGACATGAATATATAGATGCGTTTATTTCAACAAATCCTTCATATTTTGGAAGTCAAAGTGCAATTCGTCACGTCTCCATGAAATTCTCTTTCTTTAGAGACTTCATTTGTAAAGATAGTTTGCGTGTGAGAACCGCAAACGGCTATACTACTGAAATAACATAGGAGACCATTAAAGTTATTGTTATTAAGTTGACAATGTGTATTCTTAGATTTTCTCTGTTGAAGGAATTATCTTGACATGACCACAAGTGTTTGTTGTATAAATAATCCCTGTGCTTATTTTTACCCCAAAGGCCGGTAGCTTTTTCTGCTAGAAAACGAAGTGTCGTAAAACTACTACTGATGGCGAATTTAGTGCAGAGTTGAAGGGGTTTTAAAAATATGGTGGTTGGCATTAAGGCGGCCAAATTAATTCAAATTTGGCGCCATACTGCTAATGAACAGCGAAGAACACAGTTCAAACGTACCGCGCCGGAGATTGTGGCCCACATCCGCCGGGTACCTCCCAGAGAAAATGCATGGCATTTCTTTGGAATGCACCTCTTTAAACAGCTTTCAAAGATGACCGGTACATCGCAACACCGCCTGGCCCGCCGGCGAAGCAGCTTGCGCATTGCAATAACTACTCGGAATATGATTCTTTCCACATGAGACGCAACGAGATCGCATTGTTCGAGAATCTGGAGCCAACCAGTTTCGTGGTGACCCTCTTCGCTCATGTGTATGCTAAGCAATAGGCGAGTACCGTCAGCATATGAAAGATGCATTCAGATTGCGTCAGATTGCGTCAGATTGGTAAAACACTTCCAAAGCGGGTTTACGCGCGAGCCGCGTGCCAATCTCAATGCGCACTGAAATGACAAGTTGTAAGGAGAAGGCTTCCCGCTCGCCAGAAGCAGCTGACGCTAGCGCTTTTCATCACTCAACACTTAATGATTCTTGCCCTGAGGATGCTGTCTATGGATTTGAACGTCTTCAGAGAGACAAAGAGCAAGGTTTTAGCAGATCGCAAACAGGATTCAAATAGGATTTTTTCAGAATAGCTCTCACAATATTACGCCGCTTTGACAATGGTAAAGTTGCTTAAAGAGTGTTTGCTAAAAGTATCTAGGTAACATTGTACAATGTTACATGAACGAATGTTATTCTACATTCCAGAAGTTTCATTTTCTCATATTTCAGCCATTTACAGATGAATAAATGCTCACCTTGCTCATCTGGAAATCGTCCATCGCTTCGACCTTCGGGCAGGTTCCCAAGTGGTAGGTATGGGAGGATACGCCTCCGAGTATTGTCACGATGGCAAATACTGCCAACTGCATTATGTTTCCAGCCATTACTCCAAATTCTATAAGAAAAAATGTGGATAAGAAACATTAAATATATGTCTTCCTTTATCTGAATACTGAAATTTAACGATGCTGTTTATCTTGACATCTTGAAGTTACAAATTAGATAGTGTTCCTGAGTTTCGGTAATCCATTGTAAGATCAAGAGCATTTACAGACCAACGTTAAGCCACTATATTTTGCAGTCATCAAGACTGTAGATAATACATAACATTCGGGAGAAAGCATGCTGCAAAACCGAAACGGCTCCATCTCACAAAAAAAAGGACACTAATTATAATGAGAAAGACTACGCTATTTTCTGGCACCACAAGTATTGTTTGTAAATATAGAGCACAAAACACTACATTAGGGTAAGCGTTTTCAGGGGGTGGCTGAGATGATGCGATCCTTGGATAGTATTTGAGTGACCTGCGTGCCTCCATTCGTCACTCACGGTCAGCCCACTTCCCGCCCACGCAGCGAGGCACGCAGCGAGGCAAGTGGATGCCATTCGACGTGTCTCGGTCTCCTCGTGGGGAACTGGCATTTGTTTTCGTATCCATTCAGAAGATTCCGAGAAATTTATCCAAAAGACGTCTTTGTGAGTTTTTGACTTTCCCATATACACAGTAATATACGTAGTGTAAGGAAAGTTATGTAATGCTGCAGAACATCGATTTCGTGATTTCAACGGAAATACACGTTTTGGGGTCCCTTGATACCAAAAAGGGTTGCTGCTTTCTTTCAAAACGTCCGTCTGTCTGCCCGTCCGTCTGGTGTCGGAACAATACTAGCGCCTAAGCCATGCGTAGCATATTTTCCAAATTGAAGAAACCCCTGTCCATCTGGCTCGCTGAATTTTGAATGATAACATTATTTTCAAAAATTGCAAAAGACTGATTTTTTTTCGGCGTCTTCCTACAGCTACAATATTGAAGATAAAGGGGTTTCCTTGAAATAAAATTTGTTCTCCATTGTTCTTTCATTAAGGTCATACACTTTTTTTTAAATTTTAGTTTTCGCCCAATATGCGATCAATATGAGCAATTTAAAAAAATTCTCAAAAACGGCTCCAATTTTTTTCCAACTTTTCGGAAGAATAGTGTTAATTGCACTTAATATTAGATAAAGTTCGGGGTATTATTACAGTAAATTGCGAATTTACTGTAGCGCTTAGGAGCCATTTTCTTAAAACTGGCTCCAAACTGTTCAAAGAAAATTGCTATATAAGGTGATGTTTTACTGTTCTTTAATATTCACAAAGTAATACTTCCGTTCTACTATTAAGAAACAGAAAAATTAAGAACATTTCTAAAAAATGAACTTTAGGCGGCGATAGATGGCAGCAGGCAAGAGTATGTGGCAAGTTCGAATTGCTAGCCAAGACCAAAGGGAAATATTATGTAGCACCACTAGTTACATGCTGCGCCCGATGACGAAAGAATCACAGGATTGTGTGTGTGTAGTTTGTTGTTATTTAGAACTTGTGCAGTAGAAATTTTCACCATACGAAAGTATTTTAAAAGCTGTTTAAAGCGCCATCGGTGCCACATTCTGCTAGCATTGTAATATTATGTGACCGTCACCAATAGAGACCGGATTTTGACGTAATTATAAATTCTGCCTTTCTACTTACCAAACTGAAAATTGTAATCTTGGCGAATCGCGATCGTCCTAACCTAACAATTTTTCCGTTACATATTTAGTATTATATTACATAATTTGGTATTTTCACATGCTCTGTTTTTATTAAAAGAAGTATTTTAAAAATCAGAAATTTTTCATACATTATTACAACATGCTGACTACTCCAAGTACGCTACGTGAAGACGCAGTCGTATGTTCTCACAAGTATCTCAGAGGGGGACGTGCGCATTAGCAAAATGGCGAAAAAATGTAGCTGTAATAAAATGTAACTATTTGCATCATCAAAACCTACTAGTAATTGTTACGGCGATTATAATTTTGAAATTTCAATAAGACCAGTTCACATCCCGTATGGAGGTAACAACCACGATATTGGATGTTGGGAACTTTTGAACGGGAGTATAACAGACTACTTGGTAAGTCTCATGCCAGATACTGAAAGAACATATTTGAACAAAGTTGGGCATGAAAGAAATTTTCAATACATGAAACTATTTTTGAAACAGTTTACAGCGTCGGCGACGCCACATTTACCTAGTGTTCAATATGTTAGTTGTAGGAAAACGCCGAAGCAATTTTGACCGTGTAGTTGCACAGCGATCTAAAATAAATTAAAAGAACAAAAATTTTACTGTTGAACATTTTCAAAATGTTATAGTTCAACAAAAATGAGACCCGCACCTTTTTCAATCGATTTTATCTGAGGAAAAACATTCATCAAAAACATTAGACCCACTTATGAAGGTAATTTAGAAAATGTTAAGTTTTCATGTATAGTACCATCAACGATAAAAAAAAATCGTTTCAAATTTGCAAGCCCTTGATTTCGGTCAGATCGATGGGGGAATATCAATTTTGGATAAATTCGTCTGAATGGTTTCGGCTCCAGTACTGCCAGTGAACTGGCGAACGGACTCACAGATGTTTCGCCGTTAACTTATTTCTACCTTCTCCCCTAACTCCTTAAGGGGGCGTATTGGAAGAAGTAATTAAGTTCTCAGGGAGCAAGATTTACCTACTTTTTAGGTATCAGCATTTCTGTCGAAAAATCGCGACTTTTGGCCACAGCTTTAGAATACTTTCTGAGTAAGTAGTATGCGAGAAAGTAAAACTTGGAGCCGTTTTGGAAAAAAATCTGTCTGATGAGCTTCATTTGAAATACCCCTTAAAAAATTGAAAAAATATTTCAAATTCGCAGGACCTCAATCTCATCGAGATTGGCCGAAGAATGTTCATTTTGGAGGAATACTTTGACGGTTTAGATATTTTTTTTTACTAAGAAAAAACTCGTTTTTGGAATCACAGTACCCCAAAACCCGCATCTTTCTAAAAATCTCAAGATTATTTTATTTTCTTGTTAATTACATAACTTACTGTTCTATAAAAACGAAGTAAAAACTAAACATTAATTACCGAGGAATAAATTATCAATATTTAAACTATGAATTTGCATGAAACAGCAAAAATAAATTATTACGTCCGTGCACTCAAGTTACCTGGACTGTTCCATTTAACAAACTCGGTAATATAATCTGTTGTGATTGTCAATTGTGACATCATTCCTTAGGGATGAAATAAGAATGCATGATGTAAGATGAACCTGCTTCATTCTTTCTTGATGACTCATAACTGAAAATAACTAGAGGTAGCGAGGACAAGGAAGTAGTATGCTCGCGAGAACTGTAGCGTCAAAGAGCTGGCTGTGTTGTGACATACAGAGAAATGTGAAAAACTTCGGCTTCAACTTTTTCAAAATTAGAAAGAACTCAAAATTGTCTTTATCTTCATAATAAGTATCTTTGATGTATCTGATCTTTGATTTACATTATACCATTTACTACTTTTACATTTAAATATCTTTTCTTGTCAAACAGAACATCTCAGATACGAGTTTGGCAATATGTGTTTCAGCAAACCTCTTTGTGACACACTCGCTTCCGTATGTTATATCCTCCGGGCCGTTGTTATGATCCGTCACACTTAGCGGAAATCCCGGAGTTGGAATCAAGGATGGGCGGATGTTTACGAAGCACATGTAATCGGAACCACATGTTTCACAGAGCTTATCGTAATTCAACCGAAATCTATCATTTCTTCCAGCCCTCAGTCTTACTGTCCTCCCTGCACAGGGTTGGGCAAAATACTTTAAATTTAGTATTTAAATACTTCGCTAAAATACTTAGTAAATAAATGTTTAAGTACATACTCAAATACATTAGCTAAAAACATACGTTTGTAAAATACTCAAAATATAGTAAATAGAATAATTTTGCATTAACTCTTTTATTACAACAATATACGTGTTGTAATTATCAATTATTAGAAATTACAAATAACAGTCACAAAACTAAACAATAACTAAAAACTTTCAAATATAAAACATTGTCACTCATACTTTCACAAAAACACTGTCAAACATAAAAAGATATCAAAAATATATCTAACTTCTTTAAACTTTTCGAACGATAGTGCGAAATTTAATATAAGGTGAAGTTCATTTCGTCGTATTAATTGTTTTTTCAAAAATTACAAAAATGTAATTTTTTAAGATCTCTCGGCACAAGAATATGCGCATTTCAAGCAATTTTTTAACACTACAATACGTACTATAAACACTACATACAACAATTTGTATTTGTGAGTTGAAGTGATTTGAATTACTTCAAATAAATTTTTCCGAAAACTGAACATTTTTCTGTGAAAAAGTGCCTCAAATTGTGAATTTACTGTGGCCCTCAAGCGCCATTTTACCCAAAATGGCTCCAATTTTTTCAAAGAAAATTGCCATTTTAGGGATTTACTGTTTTTAATTATTCTTAAAATAATGTTTCCGTTCTACTATTAGAAAACGGAAATGTTAAGAAAATTTAAAAAAAAAAGTACTTAGAGCGGCGAGAGATAGCAGAGTATGTGGCAACGTCGAATAGTTAGCCGGGACCAAAGGAAATAGAAAACTAATACGGTTATGTCTGTGCCATTCTGTACCACCACTAGTTTTGTATTTAAATCTCTAAAATACATATCCAAAATAATATAAGATATCGTTTTTCAAATACGAAATGTATGTAAAATACAATTTCAAATCCAAGTATTTAAATACCGCGCCTCTCTGTCCCTGCACACCCCAAGAAACGCCCCCGCTCCGTCGGGGCTGCAGAAGTCGGGAGGCATTCTTAGAACGCCACCCACGGAGGATTGCTCTTTTGAGATGAGATGGGAACTTTATTATAATAGGTTTGAATAAATGGAGCTCGATGGAATGGGGGAGTGGGAAAAAATGATAATTTTTCTTAGAACTTCACGTGGAGACTGAATTCACTGGAGTTGGATATGAGGTCATTTGCCGACAGAGCAGGCAACTCCTGTTTGATG